TATTTTGGTAATGCCTTACGTTCTCCCACTTAGTATTGTGTTTCAGCAGCTTGGAATCGTATTTTGACGGAAGTCGAAAATGTTCGAGATAAGGCGGACAGTATGCTACGGTTATTTCCGGCAAATCTTACAGGCGAAGGCTTGTTTGGTCTTGCCGAAGCTGCTATTTCGAAAATGACTGAGTCGGTATGTTCGTTTTGATTAAGTCATTAATTCCTTTGCCATTCCTACTTAACAAATATAGGTTATACCGTTCTTCAGTGTCCGTTTATCCATTAATCTCAATTGCAGTTGTTGCCTGGCGCGAACCTCTGCAGCTGTTCTTTACAAATCACAGTGAGATTTTTGCTGACATTTTAGTTGCCTGGAGTGGATCAGCTGGTAACTTATACATTCAAACATGGTGGAAGCCCATTGATGGACTTACCTTTGGCTGTTAATCCGAGTGGATGTGCAAGATGCGAACCGCGGTTTCGAACACTTATCAAGCACAAGCGTCGCCGTAACCAACCTGCAGTAGCTGCTGCTGCTCGGCCATCTGCCAGTATGGATGTGCTCGCGCGTGATACCAGAAGTTCCTTTTCAGTGTTTTTTAACTATCGAACGGGTGTAACAAAATTCGAAAGAATTTCCCAGCTAAGGAAATAGTCTACGTATAATGCATGATGAAACAGCACTCTATCAAAATAAGGTGTTGTTTCATCGTCGCGTTACTTATCTCCTTTCTGCAGCATCGTCGCGTCACTTACATACACTTTTCTGTTTCGAGTTTTTCTCATCCACGTATTCCCATGCTCCATGTGAGTTTTTTACCTCATTTTTACCTTTTTTACCTCCATGTGAGTTTTTTACCTCATTGTCAGCCCCCCTTGTACTCTTCTGCGTGCATACTATTCAGTAATCCAGTACGTCCACCTGTTATCTCTCATTTTTGCTACGTAGCTAGCTTTACTCTTCTTCTTGACATATATTGCCTTGGTAATCGTGTCCACGTCGTTAGCACGGATGTAATACAGTTCGTCTTTCATGGTTCAACAGGCTGCCGTTAAATTCTCTGTCATTCCTTATTTCTCTAGCATTCCGTGTAACAGAACTGATAACACACAAAAGTGCCACTTTCACAAACCGACTGTGCATCAGTGTTAGAGAAGACGTCTCGTAACATTATGAGAGCAATGAACTTCGTTTTTCTTTTCTTCTGGTTAGCTTCACACCTAACCCTTTATCTGTACTGTTTTTCCAAGTAGTTGCAGTTAGACTCAGCGGACTAACTGCTTATTAGAAGTGAGTCAGTACGTTTTTGTCATCGGGTTGTTTCCTCTTGGGCTTCCTGCGATGAGCACTGTGTACTTGCGAAAGTAGCATTTGGACTTGAAACAAAAACACTTTTGCGTAAGAGGATTTCAAGAGGATTTCTTTTACTTTTGCGTAAGAGGATTTCAAGTGCTCTGCTAAAAGCTAACCGAGAACTGTCGCTTTATTTAACGCATCCGCCAGATTGTTATGCCCAAGACACCCTTCTCAGTTCATTCCGTGGGATAGATTGAGGCACTCAGAAATAGGCCGAACTTTCAGCAAAAATTTCAGTCGCCTCTTCTACGATTTTCTGTAACACTCATCATCGGAACTGATAAAATCGCTGAAGAGGTGAATAATTCATTAACGAGATAGCGTGTTAAATTTTTAGCCCGAGATTATAACGCTGTGTGCCACTGATATTAGCAACACGTAAAGTAGTTGCCAGTGCGATGCGCCTAAGAATGTTGGCGCCGTCTCGTGCTGCAGTATGGTAGTTGACAGAAGGAAAGTGCGTCGTAGTTTGATATGCGGATTTGTGTCAGAAATGTTCTTGTAAGATTCCTTTTTCTTTTCCGGGAGAGAGGCATCGGCTGAGCCGGTGGTATTGCCCAGGAGGGTCTCGCAAAATTTTATTCTTTTGGCCTGTAGAATTACCGTGAAGAGAAAATGCTGACGATTTTACAAATTAATTTTTTATGCGTTTTTTTGCGTTTATGCAGTTCAAAAACGCACACTATTGAGAGGTTGTCTGTGTTTATGTTTGTATGTGTGTGTCTGTACGAGTTTTCATCTGGAGTTCTACAAAAGCTACAAGGCT